TCATGTTGTAAATCATGGTCTGTCCCTGAGGGAAGCGGGTGTAAGAGTTCAGCCCCACCTGCCTAGATCCACAGAGGCATCAATTGTCAGGATTTTCAGGCAAAGCAACAGGTACTATACACTATTTAGAGCATTCTGACTCAAGGCATTTGATTGATATGTATATTACTATAGTGGTGTGACTTGAGGAAAGTCTACAGGAAAAAACTGACGCATCGATGCATGTTTGTCTTTACTGTAACCCACTACTGTAGGATTTAGCATTTACCTCCCACAGGAGGGAGAGGAAGAATTTACCAGTATTTGTGATTGTGTGGGACAATGTGGCCTTTCATCATTTAAGTCACAGAGTGGTTTACTGCCCATCCCAGGATGATGTCATTATTCTTGCCACCATACTCTCCATTCCTCAACCCCATTGAAGATTATAAGGTTATAATGTATTTTTCTTTTCCAGTGTATTGCGCAGCTAAAAATTTATTTACTGTATTATTTGATTGCATTACAATGTTAGAAATGTCATACATTTTTCTTTTATTTTGCAATAAACATTGTGTGAAAATATAGGATACAACAACACATCATATGTATGCATTTTGCAGCGCTTCAAGTTGTTTGTGTTTTTTCATGCTTTGTACTTTGTGTGACAAAGTCGTCTTGTGAGAGAGTGCGTGTGCTATAGGTTTGACAGCATGGGTCACTTTTTGGTGAAGTGTGAAGGGTTTTGGTGGTTTTAGTGCATTTTGCACCAAAAGTTAACTGATATACTCAGGTACATGTTTGTAAAGTTCACAGTGTGAAGTGTTTTGAAAAAGCGGACATGGTATTGAGACAAGTGTGAAAATGATTGGAAAAAACTGTAATACTGTGAGTGCGCAGTGTAAGAATGTAACCTTGGCCACAGTCTGCACCTTGATTTTAGCAAACAAGTTCACTCTTTCATGTTAAGATGCCTGGGGGCGTGTGGGGCAGCCAGTTGAACTTGGACCTATAGGGTTGCCACATGGTTTTCCTGGGATTGTTCACTTTTTTTACTGTCTGTCCCGGAAAATTGATAATTTTTCCCGGGACGCCTATTGCATTTCCATCCACATGTTCATTACTTTCACTTTTGAATAAACCTATAATTCTGCTGTTTCTGCAGCAGTGTTCTCTTCCCCGGTATTTTGACAGGTCTACATATGCTTGCTGGTCTATGTGTCGCTGTAGCGGACACATGCTTTTATTTGATTGGCTGTATGTAGTCTGCAAAATCTACGCGCGCAACCGCATGCTGCAGATCGCGCATGCAGGCAACTGTATCAGACAAGTCAGTGTGAGATATAGGCTAGAGAAACATTAAAACATTTTAGGTTTTGACAAAATGGGGGGAGAAACGGACGAGGAGGAGGAGCAACAGACAAAGTCAGAGGAGCCAGCAACGAAGAAAAAAAGATATACCACATTCAACACAGATTGGATGAAAAAAGACACTTTGGCGGAATGGGTCAGGCCTACCCAGGGAGACCCGTTCTCTGCCTCCCGTATTGTGTGCCCAGACAAAATTATACTGAAACATGAAGGGAAATTGGCACTCGACAGCCATGCAAAAACAAAAAAGCACCAGACTGCTATACTGAATAAACGCCAAAATCGAGCCATCACTACTTTTATGACTAAAAAGGGCTCCCCGGAGGAAGATAGGGCAGCAGTGCTTAGTAATGTATACCACGGGGTTCTTCACGGTCATAGTTACCTATCAACAAATTGCGGCATTAAAGTAGGGTGACCAGACAATCCATGTCAGGGAGGACACTTTGAGCTACTTCGGATTTTACAAACTACTTTCAAATTAAAAGGCTCCTGTGCTCGGCTAAATAGTTTAGCTCTTCTTGTGCTTTGACTGGTTTGTTTCCTTGACTGAAAGACTTATCCAGCTGTTTCACATTAGCATTAGTGACACATGCATGATTATAGGAGACTGACCAATCAGCACACAGCAAGAGCTGAGTGCTCAAGTGAAATCCAGGTCTGCTTAATTGAAATGGTAATTTACAATTCCTGTCCTAGCTCAGAGTGTCCTCCCTGACATGGATTATCTGGTCACCCTACATTAAAGTCAATACAAAAATCTTCCATGACTCCAGTATAGTTGTCACAATGTATGCGCCCGGAGTGCAGACAAACAAGCAGGAGGCCAGGAAACGGGGAACACGGGGTTTAATCAGACGTAAAGGTAGGCAATAACGCATTGACAATACAATGACCGGACTGGGGAAACAAACAGAAATGCGGACTAAATACAATGAACTAATGACAACAATCAGAAACAGCCGTAAAACACTGGGAATCCACATGAGGTTAACGAGGGGGGCGTGGCACAGAAGGATCGGCACGATCGGGGCGTGACAATAGTCTCAAAAGTGCCATGTGGACGAACAAAAAGCGAAGCTTTAATGCAGGATATCTTAGCCCCCAATAGCCAGGAGCGTTTGGCTCCAGAACTGAAACAAAGGCCTTTCTTTTCTGTTTGTTCCGACGCATCAAATTCAGGAAACGACAAACTGTATCCGTACACTGTCCAATATTTCCATGAAGAAGAGGGTGTTAAATGTGGGCTATTGGAATTTCACGAGGACCCCCATGAAACCAGTAGAGCCATCTACGAAAAGATAGTGGACATCACAGAATCATGTGGGCTGAGTGTCAGTAATATTGGTGCATATGCTGCTGACAATGCCTGTCAATTTTGGCATAATTCCGTTTTTCAAAAACTGAAAGATGCCAATCCGTATATCGTAAAGGCCAACTGCAAGTGTCACTTGATTCACAGTAGCCGGAGAAATGGAAGCAGAATTCTAAGCTCGGCAGGACATGATGTGGAGTTCATTGTCCTTAAAAGCTACAGCGAGATCTCTTACTCAGCCAAGAAAGTAGAACGTCTCAAAGAGTTTATCTTATTTTTTTCTTCATTAGGGAAGAAAGATTGTCCAGCTGTTATGGTGATGTTGCAGACAGCGGTGATGACGTGACAGTGTCAGAGTGTATCCTATTGCTCATGCATAATGTCACGCATGAACTTGACAGTGCAATTCAAAAGTTGGAAAATGAGAATGTTAGCTTACTGGATGTTCTTGGGGTGATGAGCCAACTGCGCAGCCAATTAATCCCGCGTCGCTCAGACAAGTTTTATGGCAGCAAGACAAGGCAGGCATTACGAAAACTGAACTCAAGAGAACAAACTGAGTTTGTTGGATTGGTCGACAGCTTCTTTAAAAAAGGTGTTCAGTATGTAGAGGCTAACGTTGATTTTGATGACCTGATAATGTACAACTCAACCTGCCTGCGACTGAGAGCTCCAATTGAATGGAATGCGCTCGAAGACTTAGTTGAGAAATTGAAACTGAAGGATATTGACGTTCACAAGCTGTATCAGGACTATACTGTACATTCCAGAAGAGCTGACCCCTGACAAAAAAATAGGCATTTTTTTTCAAAAGGGAGAAAACTGCGACAGAATTGCTGAAAGTGGTATTGTTTGTTTTGTCAGTTTCCGTTAGCAACGCTTATGCTGAGCGTGTAATTAGCCACATGGGAGCCGTGTGGTCCGACAAAAAGAGAAGGATGTCACAGTAGGGTTAGTCAAAGCTGAGCTCCAGATCAGACAGAACTTTAAACCGTCCTGCTTGGAGTTCAAAGCGTCCGTCAAGGGGACAGAAGTCACTTCTGCAGGCAGCAGAAAGGGATGAGAAGTACAAATGGAGAAAGAGGTGAGAATTATTTTGTATTCAGTTAATGAAATAGATGAAAAAGATAAATTAGGCTAAATGAAAATACTGTGTATTGTTGTCTGAAAATCTATATTCAATATATAGACAGGGAGAGCAGCAGAGAGTCCAGGGCGAGTGTGTCAGGGAGGGCATAACCCCCCCCCAGAGTCCAGGGCCAGTGGCAGTGTGTCAGGGAGGGCATCACCCCCCCCCGAGTCCAGGGCCAGTGGCAGTGTGT